CGATCGAACAGTGAAATATACGGCTAACAAGAGGCTTTGGGGCGTAGTGGTGCAGCGGCAAAAAGGTCTGTTTTGAACTCCAGGTGCCAGGTCTGCTGACAGTACAACGTTTACCGCGAGTTGCCTTGAACAAGTTATCAACCCCACGTATAGCCAATCGAAAAAGTGTAGCAGCAAATCGGTGACCTGCAGACAGCACGGTATTCTGGTATGGTCATGTGAAAATGGACTATGTGCACGGCCATTCTCTTTGATGCAAGCGAACCCCGTAACTCCATTTCGCTTTGGCCCACCTGATAGCCAATTATCCAGTATAATAATCAACATAAGATGCAACTCAAGTTTATTTACTACCTTTACGCTTATTAGCCACTGCGCAATTTCAAACTTTTTCTTTTTCATTCACCGGCAGGTTTTACACCGACTCGTATTGACTTGAGCAACTTATATAAACTACTCCGAGCTTGAACATGAATCATATTCAACTTTCTCCTTGTATCCACGAAGGATGCATACGCAGAAACTTGCACCGTGGCAACTAGAGAACGGGTCAAAAAAGTAGCAATAGCATTTCATATAGGCTAGCTATGGCATGCACGACAAATTTATGCTACCTACAGTGACTGTTTAGTTCATCTCACCAATAGCCATCACTGTTGAAAGTCACCATCATCAGCATATTTCGATCTACTGCTGAATGAAGACTTCCCCAGGACCTTGCCTCAAATTTCTGGTTTCTGCAGTTGTGATCTATCGTGATTCAGCGAACTACTTCAATTTATGCCGCCATCGATGTCGATGTCTTCCTGCTGGCCGTTTACTCTCTCCTGGAATCTATCCTAGTGTCTCTCTAGTAAAACGATGGTCGGGTTTTCTTGCAAAATATCCTGTCTACTGCCACTTTAACTTCTTCATTGTACTAATGACATCGCAGACTTGTTTGGGCTCTTACCCATTCATTCGTCTTTCTATCTTTTCTTGTTATTCACGGGATACCTCTTTCCATGCTGCGTTGCGCAGTCTGCAGATAATGAATAGTTTTCACACTTAGAGTCCACCTTTTGCATCCACGGGTTAGCACTGAGAGCACACACTTATTGAAAGCATTTTCATTCAAGCACAAGGGCAATTTTTCACATAAAAACATTCTTAATCTTCCAAATGTGATTCATGCAATTCGCACACCTGTTTACTTCACATAATCGATTTTTTGTTGTAGAGATGAGCTGTCGCAGACAGATGTAGTCTAGCACTTTTTCAATATTAAGTCCGTTGACCTCAACAGGTCGCGCGATCACGTATTTGTCGGACATGACCAGTTTTTTTAAAGATTAACTTGCAACTGTTCTGCAGCCCCCTGTCCTTCAGCTCTTACATTGCTTTGAAGCTAGTTTTCCTTTCGACTATGTAGAACGTAGTATGCCAATATTACTAGGATGTACTACTGGTATTGAAATGTAGCCAGAGACGGCTTAAATGATCCCCAAGGCTTTCAGATCATGGAGGCGATGGCATAACAATAATAAACCTGTTTTAACGAAGGCGAGTGCCTATTAGCATGTCTCTGGCACACGGTCTCCTCTCTTTATGTTACCTCGAAAAAACAGAAAGACTAACGACTCATGATTTCTGAAATATCATTGGTAGCGAACAAGCTAATGATCCGCCCTAAAATCGATTAACAACGGATGTTCAGAAACACTGAGTCAGGGTGTGCTTAAATAGCTCTATAAGCAACCATGAGCAAGAGGTGACTGTAATGCAGTGACTGGTTTAATAATCTTTTATCATCAGACTTACCTTAAAGATAGCCCATAATGATACAGGCCATCTGCTGAATGACTGGCTTTCAAACAGCACTGTGCATAATTACTGTTTTAGTGCTGGTTTTCTACAGACTTTGTCAATGATAATACTGATTCAATCAGCACAGCGGCACTGATGAACATCTAAACTTCATAAGGCGAATAAACTAAACAAACGGTTTGTTTTCACACTGAAAGTTCATAAACATGAAGAAGTTAAGTAGTTAACATCATGACTATTTAAGTTCCAGTATTTCGAGTGTGTACCAGTCATTCAGAGCAAGCAACATTTTTTGACAACCTAACTCCGCACTTGTTTATTAAAAACAGCATTAAAAAATTAACAGAACGACTGATTACGAATTCATAACGAGCAATATATCAGTCGAATTTATGGACATACGGTCTGTGAAATGCGAAAAAATAATCGATAATCACTATTCTATGTAGAAGTACCCTTATCTGCCTCGAAAGGATTAAAGCCTAGCTTAGTGACCCGGTGAAAATTCAAACCTGCGATACTTCGACTGCGAGTTCGAATCATTACCGCCACAGCTACTATGGTTTTTATTGCAATACAGTGTGATGATAACGCACTTCCTAAAATACAATAACTTAACAAAATTAAAAAAAAACATGAAAAGCTAAACAATTTTCCAACCTCATTTTCAAATCCACTCGGTTTGAGCGCCATAACGAAGCGGCTTTCCTTTAGATTGAGGCGGACGATCTTCTTTGCCAGCGGATCTCCCATTTCAGCCGCTTCTTCTACCTGTTCCTGGATCTCATCCCAACTCAGCTGGTTCGCCAAAGCGGTACGCATGAGCAAAATGGCGCTGTCAATCTGTTCGCAGTTCTCTTGGATGCTCCTTCCTTTCAGCGTGCTCATTTGCTGAGCCTGCTGCAATTCCGCTAACCGACGGTGATGATCGCTACGAATGTTGTCGAGCTTCTGCAGCACCGTCTTTTCCTGTTGCAGTGCTTTCAGGTCCAACTTCTGGGTTTCGAGCTTGGAGTAGAACTCGTCAACGGCAGCAGTGAACGAGTCCCATGTACTCACGCAGCCAAGTTCTTTATGCTGATCGAACAGGTACGGGTGATACTCCTCGTATGCCTGCACGGTTTCTTTGGACGCGGTCTGTTTTTCGCTGTATACGATGTAACCGCGGCACGGACTATCGCGGATCTGTCGAAAGATTTGCTGCGCGTTCTGAAAAGCAACGCAAATCTTGCCGCTGTCGTGAAATACGTCGTTATACTTCTTGACACTCCAGTTTAGCGAGAAGCCCAGTTGCCTGAAACAGTGCTCGAGCAGCGCAGGCCCGTAAACAACATGTGAAATGAGCACGCGCCGCAAGTTGTCGTTTGGCTTTGCGTCGTCAAGTAGGCGGCGAATCATCTCCTCGTTTTGCGACGGTTCTTCCACCTGCCGAATGAGGTGCAATGGGTACGTCTCGCGAACAATAAACTTCACGTCACTGTCGGCGTCCGTTCGTGGACGCAGCACGTTCAATATTGTGTACTCATGGTCAGTTAGAATGATGTTTCCTCGATCATACAGCTCAACGATGACGTGCGCAGCGAATGTGTTCGAACCGAACTGCATGTTGATTACACGGTCAAGACCGAGCTGCGACACCGACTCCAATCGTTTCTGACGCATGTGTTTCCGCAACTTCATTGCAAAGCTGGACGGAATTATGTTTTTCGGCCACTCATACTCGGTCTTGTATATGCAACAGCCAGATTCGAATAGCAGGAAAACTTTTGCGTCTGGTCTTAAAATCAACGAGTTTAAACTATGTATGGTCAACGACAAAAATAAAATATCATGAAAGAAGACAAATACAGTGGCCACGCAAGAATGTGTCGAAATTTTCACTCATTCACACGTGACAGCAAGTGAAAATGAACACCGTCATCAACGACACAACTCAAACAAAGGTAAGCTTGCATAGTGCAAGTCGGCTGGCGTACTTTTCGGGCTCCAGCAAAAATGAAACCTAACGGTCACAGAAAAAATCGTACTAAGAAGAAAATCTCTGAAGTGTGACTGTGAAATAGAAATACAGACTGAAACGTAGAAGTGTATCACGTTATGCTAACAAATTTAAAGTAATCTTGCTTAAACAGAATCACAAAAGAAAGTCATTTTTCAACAGAGACATGAAGCAGCATAAAAAGTATATAAATGGCAAAATAAAATGCTGAATGTAAAACTTAACAATGCAACAGGATTACCATAGTGGTACGTGAGCGCCGGTTATGAGAGTACCACGCTTATCAATATCTAGATGCCGATAAAAATATCGCATATGCTTCAGTTAAAACAAGAAAAAAATGGAACAAGAACAGCAAGAAAACAAATAAATAGTAAACAGAACGCAACAGTATAGGAAACAGGATAAAGAAAAAAAGGAAGATCAAACAGTTATCAGAATTCAAACATATTATGTTGTAATCATCTGCGTCTACGAGATCCTTTAATAATACGTGTTGAGGTTAGAAAGATAGATCTGCAAACTCAGTCGCTGCAAATACTATAACATAATTGTTGGCAATCGTGATACCATTCTGACAGGCATACATGCAGAAGACGAATACTGCTAATAGTATTAGTGGTGCAGATTCAAGATAGTACTTGTTGCGCAAATGTTGTCAGAAACAAATCAGTCCACTACACTTCAAATTAAAGTAACAGATCAGTTTAAATCTGCATATCCTACAGCAACCAGCGAAAGGTCTAGCAATATCCTAAAGAAATTATCCTATGAACACCTATAGACATCATAAAAAGAAAATACAAGAAAAAAGCTGCGACATTTAAGGAAGCTGTTTACTTTCAGCTTGTACACTGGCAGTGTGAAAACGGCTGCTTTCAATATGGTGTTAATCGCCCTTGCTTTAAGTCTGCTCTATCCAAACTTCTCCTTACACCTTTCCTATATTCGAAAATATCAATTCAATCCATCGGTCTACTTCAGAATCAGCACCGCGAAGAATAGTCGGTACTAATTTCAAGATACTGGAAACGCTCTCCCTCCGTTATAGTATCCTTCGAGTATCCGTGGCGAGGGGCGCTCTCATCGTTGTCTGTAGCATTTAAAAGCGCACAATTAAAAATTCAGAAAGGCATAGCTCAGTTTCTATTTAAAATGTGAAATTTAAAAAAGCAATCATACTAAATTAACAGCGACTTAATGTCATCAATCAGCTTGAAACGAATCAAAACAATCCGTGTGACAAAATAAATTTGTTCATCAACGATTAAACACAGACCCTCAAATATCTGGCATGTAGCAAAGCGACGTTCCACGTCATGATCAACCTTCATTGTCGTAGCATTCGGATTCGCTCGAAAAGTCTGTTGATCATAAACAACCTTTAAAATGGGAAGTTACTTCTTGAAATTATTACTGACTTTCATGGCCAAATAAGCATTGTCTACACATATAGAGGCAACTCTAACTGAATCACAAAGGTTCCCAGTAGCCTTATGACTTAAACTTCCATTTCAAGCATTTTGTATAACCCGTTGACACTTCAAATTATGCAGTGAAAATGAACGATTGAAGATTACCCGCATGCTTTTGCGATCGGCATTCATCTCAAACTCCTTCGTTTATCGAGATAACACACCGTTTTATTACATGACATCGTTGTCACCATTTTCCTTTGCACTGACATATATTACTTTGTGCTCGTTACTCCTGTCAGTTTAGTCATTACTCGTACATACTTTGTCCATCTATGTTGAAATAAGATCTGCAACAGTTAACGCTGATCCTGTTACGGGAACAAATCGAGTGAAGAATGATAGGCCTCCTTCCCCTGAAACTAAATAAAAGTGTTTGAAAGATCCAAAACTGATGAGCAAAACTACCATTTGGAAGGTAATCTGACTTTGTTGTTCTACAGTAAGAACAATCCGTGACAATGTAGATGATATTCATAAAACCACCCAAAGATCAACATATATCACTGCTACGAGAATCACTAAAGCCCAATCCAATGCCTTAGAAAAAATTAGAAATTCATTGGCCACGTGAATCAACCACAAAAGTCCTACTGTTCATGGTGGACATTAAGTAGGTGGCAAGGAGTTTGCATGAGGAATGCGCGAAAAATAACAAGGACGCAGACCCTTTAGCAGCATATCGTAATATTACCGCGACCTCTGAAGGGCCGCTGAATATTCGAACGCGAAACCTGCCCGCCAAATAAGCTGATTGGCTGGCGCAACATTCCAGACATTCCTGACTGATTACAGAAATCTCGATAATCTCAGAGAAACGAGTTTCGGTTCGATGATTTGCCATTCGGAAACGGGAATCCGCCGGAGGACTGCTTTAAGATAATGAAGCGCCAGAAACTCAGTGTATTATATGGTTTGTAACTCCTAAACGCTGTTTCCGCATCTCAGTTCGTGAAGCATCGAAAAGCTCTTCATAGACGCAGAAGGCTATCATGCCTAACAGCGGCCGATGCTACACTTTTCCTGTCAATGCTGGTTGTCGTTTTAGGACATTCAACGCGTTTTGTAAGCTTAAAGTGAGTGGAGCAAATTGATTGGAGCTGGAGTGACTGCAAACGAATTCCCACAACTGTTCAAGACAATGACTGACGAAAAGAACTATAGGCCACATCAGTGTTTTCAAGACTCATGAAGCAGGACTGTTTTGGAAACGAATGCCGAAGGTGTCCATAGAAGAGAAATCGACATCTGAATTCAAAATAGCAAAGGAGAGTTGCACACTGCTCTTGGGTCAAAATTAACTGGAGAATTACAGGACCACCTCCCTGATGGTGCACTAAACAGAGATCGTAGGGTAATGAACGGCCAACAAAAATCGCTTATCCGTTGTCTGCCACATTAAGGGAACCGCTAGAACAATTTAGCCATTCCGATTGACCCATTTTCTTCTCCAACGGAGCAAACGGCAACTGAAAACTTTTTGAAAAAGGGAAAAATTTTCCACTCAATATATTTATACAATGCTTATGGCCATCCTTCGAAACATGCCGGCCTTAGCAACAACATTTAATGGATGTACCTGATTTAACCTATGTATTAACGAGTCAGTGAAACATTTCATGCTCACTATCCTTGCTAAACTTTTACTAAGCTTATAAAGGGTAGGAGCAGAGAAAGAAACTAAGCAAGAAAGATTTCTGGCAGAGTTTCAACCATAAGATGGCCACTAATGCCACTTACATTTCTTAGGTAAAAGCCAAAGAACAAAAACGTTCGAGTGTAAAGCAGGCACTGACCTGTGGGCGTCAATGAATTTGGGGCTTTGGTTTGGGTCTGGATTTTGATACTGCGAGGCAGCTATCACCCAGGTGGTCCACTATGCCTGTCCTGAATAGGCTGATAAAGATGATAATAAAACTTCAGCAATGCTACATTCACACGGGAAAGAACTTAAGAATGAAAATCGCAGTACTGCGGAGGAGTTAAGAGAAAAAGAAGTTTTAGTAGAGTTTTGATGTAGGTCAGCCTAGATGAACCATGTGGACGAAATACACGGTAGCCATTTTCATGCGCCTGAATGACTCAGAAGCTACTCTTCATAAAAAGACCTACAAGAAGTGAAAAGTTATGAGAGGCAAATCATTTCTCTAATGTTACAAGACAATTTACCATAAAATGTAGATATTCATTGAGTTCTTCACTGCTCAGTTTCTAAAAAAGTCTCTAGTCTTACCGCCATC